ATTTCTTACATTTCCCACCCAATTAGCTTGATTAAATGAGGAAAACTACAATAGATTAATGCAATAAAACCAAATTTGAGTAAGAAATGGTTACCCACAATATTCCTCTGAAAATCCCTCAAAGAATCGCCTTCTCCCGAACTCAAAATAAAAAAAATGGAGTGAAAATGAGCTAACCCTCGATTCCAACCCCTGTTCTGCCCAGCGATCCTCGCACCTACACCTACCGCACCTGCCGTCTAACCAGTCACACCTGCGGAAGTCACTAACTCCCACAGTCTTCGCACCTACGAGCCTTCTGCGCATCTACGGGCATCATAGATGCGGAACCTCCTCGCACTTGTGACCCCAGGCCAACTCTCAATTCTCGCATCTGCGCTTCCATCTCCGCACGTGCTGACCGCACCTGCGCTCCATCACCATCCCCACCAGTTCCACATTTGCGCACTCCCTCCGCACATGCGGCGCTCGCACCTGCGGCCTCCCTTCCGCAGGTGCGAAACACCAGAACCAGCAAAGGCACCATATTTTCCTAAGTCCAAATTTCATTCCGTTAAGCATCTGAAACACACCTGAGGCCCCCGAGACCTCAACCAAACATACCAACCAATCCTAAAATATCATACGAACTTAGTCAAGCCTTCAAACCACATCGAACAACAACAAAATCATGAATTAAGCACGGATTCAAGCCTAAGAATTTAGAATTTTCCAAATTCTACAAACGACACTGAACCACATTAAATCTAGTCCGAATGACTTCAAATTTCACACACAGGTCACAAATGACACTACGAAACTATGACCACTTCTAGAATTCCATTATGGGCTCGATATCAAAATTTCCACTGCCGACCGAAATCGCCAAAAATCTAACTTTTGCCAATTCAAGTCTAAATCTACTACGGACCTCCAAAACATATCTGGACGTGATCCTAAGCCTAAAATCACCATACGAAGCTGCTGACATCATCCATAACTCATTCCGGAGCTGTTTACACAAAAAGTCAAATTTCGGTCAAATTCTCATCGCTTAAGCTTCCAAAACTAGAATCCTTCTTCCAATTCGACTCTGAATGATCCGGCAACTGAATCCAACCATGCGCGCAGGTCGATATACATAATGTGAAGCTGCTCAAGGCCTTATGCCGCCGAACAGAGCTTAAACTATCAAAACGACCGGTCGGGTCGTTACATTAAGTACATTTAATGGCTTGAAAGTTTATTTTATTAACTTAGTATAAAATACTTATCTCTATTTGGTCCGTTCAATACACACAAAATGTACAAGCACAAGAAGTTGGAATTAAAAAATTCCCATAATCAAGATAAATTATATTTAATCTTGTGCTACCATCATCCATGATGGTTTGTCCAACTCCATCATAATAGATTGTGAACTCAAACTTTATACTTATAAGAACCGATAATTTAATCTTCCGTGTATAAGCTAAACTCTATACACTAAATCATCTACTATATAAGCAAAGGACACAGACTAATATATGATCTATTTAAAACTTTATTAAAACTGAATAAATAATTATTTCGAAATATATATTATATCTAAACCAAACTCATGGTTAATAGTATATATTCCAACACGCACAAGTAGTAGCATCTGTTTGAGTATCTGTACGTGCCGGTTGGCCACCGTCCGACGGGGCCATAGAGGTGGAGCGTAGAGTTGACGCACTGAACAGAGCCAGAGGCAGACCTACGCTAGGGGGTGGGGGGTCACCGGAACCCCTTGGCCTCGGCAAATATATATATATATATATATATATATATATATATATATATATATATATAGGGAGGACCTCTTTAAATATTTAAAGCGGCCCCCTAAGTCACAAAGGCAGGACAGAAGAGATGGTTTGTGGAAGTGCTCAGCAGCTTTCTTTTGCCTCTGGACCCAGGTTCGAATCCGGGGTCCTACATTCCATATTATTTAATTTTTACTTAAGACTTAAATAGCTTAATATTTTTTAACCCCCTCAAAGATCTAAAAACAAATCGTCTTTTTTCTCCAAGAAACAAACCTTTTCAGCTTCTCTGCCTCCCTTCAACTTCAACCTTCGTTTCAGTTCTTCACTTCTTTGCATCCCTTTGAACTTCGAATCCCACTCTTCTTCAAATCTTTGATTATTTGAATAAGTTTTTCTTCTTTTTACAAATATTAGTTTTTTGATTTTTGTGATTTTGACCTAGATTGGTTATGAGTTATGACATATGAACAAATTTACTTTCTTCCCCATTCAAAATATCCCTTTTCACCAACACCATCAAATGCAAATCCAATTAGTAGCAAGCACTTAAGTTGAATAAATAATTGATGAGTAAAGTGCTCCTGTAGTCCTGTAAATTCCTCTTTTTGCTAGCTTAATTTTTTGAAGTTCTTTTATATAGTAGATAATGCTTGCAAGTTTTGCAAGAAACTTGTATTCGGATTTCAAGGATACTTCTTTTAGTTTTTGAATTCGCTACTGTTCTTTTAGTTTTTGAATTCATTGTTTGAGTAGACAACAATCATGGTGATTGGTGCACATTTACATGATGTTAAATCTTTAGTTGGTATGCTAATTCTTTTATCTTAATAAATTAATTTCATAGGTATTTGAAGATTTTTTGCTAATGCTATTTGAAATATTGTTTCAGTGAAGTGGATGATTTGAAATCAAGCTGTATATGGATTTCAAGGATACCTTTCACAAATTGGTAAGTGTTCCTTCTATCTTTAATATAATAATAATATAGATATGAGTTATGACTTATAATAAAATATAGTAGTGTGATTCCCCTATTAGAAATATTATATTTGCTTTTTTTCATGATAGAAGGGGTGTGATTCCCCTATTATAATGTTGTTTTGCTTGGCATTGTTGCTTTGTAGGAAGTTTTATTGATGTGAATTGAGATGGACATATTTTTGACGAGGTTTAATTTTTCTCAACCAAGTTCTAGTTTTAGAGGCAATTCCTCCCATCTTGTAGAGGAGTTTGATGTGAAATCACTTAATTCTGACCCCGGAGAGAGAATACTCGTTGATAGATATAGCTCCAGAATACGGGATGAAGTGAGAAGACACTACATCCAAAGAGGGCCTTGCCAACCAGTTTATCACAAATTTCCTAAAACTTTATGTGGGAAAAAAATGCGCCAATTTAGTCCGGGTTAGTTTAAAGATTCACATTCTAGATGGTTAGAGTATAGTGTGAAGAAAGATGCCGTATTTTGTTTATGTTGTTATTTATTCAAAAATGATTACGTTCATAGTAGTACGGGTGACTTTTTCACAAAAATCGGCTTTAAGACTTGGAATAAAGGACCCGAAAGACTTGGTCTACATGTTGGTGAAGTAAATAGCCTCCACCATAAGTGTTTCAACAAAATGCTAGACTTGTCAAATCAATCTCAATCAATTCAAGATGCTTTTGAAAAGCAATCTGAGAAACAAAAAAGTGAATATCGAATTTGTTTAAATGCCTCAATCGATGTTGCAAGGTTTCTCTTGGACTTTGGGTTATCTTTTTGAGGTCACGATGAAAGTGAATCTTCAAAAAACAAAGGCCTTTTTATAGGGCTTTTGGAATGGCTTGGAAATAGGCTTCCAGATGTAGATAGAGTTATATTAAAACATACTCCAAAAAATGATATGATGACTTCGCCAAAAATTCAAAAGGATATTGTGAGTGCTTGTGCACAAGAGACCGTGAAAGCTATAATTGATGACTTAGATGGAGATTATTTTGAGATTTTAGTTGATGAGTCCAAAGATATTTCACACCATGAACAAATGGCCCTTGCTTTGCGGTATGTTGACAAAAAAGGCCAAGTGAACGAGCCATTTATTGGTCTTGTTCGTGTTAGTGATACATTTGCAAAGTCGTTGAAAGAAGCAGTACTTCCTTTTCTAATGAAACACTCATTAAGTCCATCCAAAATACGTGGACAAGGCTATGATGGGGGTAGTAATATGCAGGAAAAACTAAATGGCCTTAAAGCTTTAATTTTGCAAGAAACTCCATCGGCATATTCCGTTCATTGTTTTGCTCATCAATTACAGTTGACGATTGTAGCTGTTGCTAAAAAAATACAAGGAGGTGGAGACCTTCTTTGCTATTGTTACTAACATGTTGAATATGAATGGAGTTTCTTTTAAGCGAAGAGATCAACTTCAGGAACATCAAGCAGAATTGTTGGAGCAATTGCTAGAGAGTGGTGAAGTTCAAAGTGGAAAAGGATTAAATCAAGAGCGAGGGCTTCAAAGGCCAGGTGACACTCGCTGGGGATCACATTGTAAAACGTTGGATAACTTTATTATTTTATTTTCTTCTATTGTTCATGTGCTTGGGGTGATTGAATGTGAAGGTGATGTTAATGATAGGTTGCAAGCAGAAGCTTTTTCGAGTAAAATTAAAGCATTTGAATTTATTTTCTTGCTTCACTTAATATTGAAAGTGTTGATAATGTCAAACAAGTTGAGCAAAGCTTTACAGAAGAAAGAGCAAGATATTGTCAATGCCATGGTATTTCTTGATATCACAAAGGAAAGGTTGCAAGAAATGAGAGATGAAGGATGAAAACCATTGATGGATGAAGTATCTTTATTGTATGCAAAACATGATATTTTGGTGCCCAAGATGGAAGAATTCTATATTCCTAGAAAGTCAAAGCGTAGGCCTTCTAGTGTTACTTATTCACATCACTTACGTGTTAAGCTTTTTTATGCAGTGATTGATTTACAACTTCTGGAGCTTAATAGTTGTTTTGATGTTATGAGTAGTAACTTGCTTCTTGGTATGGCTAGCTTGAATCCGGCTAACTCATTTGCTAATTTTNCAACTTCTGGAGCTTAATAGTCGTTTTGATGTTGTGAGTAGTAACTTGCTTCTTGGTATGGCTAGCTTGAATCCGGCTAACTCATTTGCTAATTTTGATAAGGAAAGAATAATGACATTGGCCAAGCATTATCCCGATGAGTTTGGTGAATTGAAGCTTCGAGATCTTAGTCGCCAACTTGACACTTTCATATGGCACATGGAACATGGTGACCCTAGGTTCTCTGATTTGAAAGGAATTGGTGATTTGGCAAAAGTATTGGTTGAGGCAAATCTTGTGGAGACTTATTCTTTTGTTTATTTGCTTGTGAAGTTGATTTTAATTTTACCTGTCGCAACTGCAACGGTAGAAAGAGCATTCTCATCCATGAAGTACATCAAAGATGAATTGCGTAGTAGTATTAGTGATGCATTTTTAAATGATTGTTTAGTTTGTTACTTTGAGAAGGAAGTATTTGTAAATATAAGCAATGATGCTATTATTGACCGCTTTCAAAATATGAAAGCGCGTCGAGTTCAACTATGAGTGGACAATGTACTTTTGTTATATTAGTATCAAGTTAATGGTATTTGATAATATTGATGTTTTTATTTTGATGATAAATTACCATAGTCATTTCAAAAAGTTGCACCCGAACTTTATTGCTGGTGATTGGGATACTAAAGATAATGGTGCCCCCGTTATGCTTAAATTCTGGGTCCGTCTCTGAACAGAGCCTATAAGGTAGTCAACGGTTATAATGTTCTAGAGAGAGAACGTCCTAATTCACCCCTTTCTTGTGTGGTGTAAGTGCAGAAAATAACATGCAAGTTCGATATTAATTCGATCCTATATATTACAAGCAACGATTAATAAAACGGGTAGGAAGAGATAAGAACTTGTTAATTCTTATCGGAAAAAGGAAAACAGAATAGTTTTCTGGTCAAACGAACATTACAAACCTTTGCATCACACAAATGGTTCCTTTGCAACTATACTAGTTCAGTTTTAACCCCCAAAAGAAAGAAAAAACAAGGCCGAATCAAACCTACATTCAAATAATAATAAATAAATAAATAAGGAAAATAAAGGGTTCCTTAGCGGCTAACTAACTGAGCTGGCATTCTGGTTTTTGTTATTTTTCTTTATTCGGGAAGGGGGTGGAGTAGGGGAATGGGTGAAGAAGTTAGTTGTTTTAGAAGTAATCTCCAACTTGTGGTCCTTTTATATATATATATATATATAACATGCTACTAAATTATATTGTCAATATATGTATAACTTAAATCCTATTATTAGTGCAATGTCAGAACTTGAAAATACTTGGTTAACACACGCCATTTACTTTCCGGTGCAACAAATTAAAGCTTTCTGCACAACAAATAAAAGTGCATCATTTAAGAAACATTAATTAAGAAAAGAAGTCATCTTATTAACCACGCATTATAGAAGAAACCATACTCTAATAATCTTACTTGATTTTCGGGGCTAGCTCGCTTCCACTCTTTTCTTTTCTTTTTTCGAAAAGACAAGGAGGATTAAGAAGGCCATCATGTGCATGTTACAGGGGTAAGCCGATATAATTAAGAAATGGACTTTTAATAGGTACGCAACCGGTGCCAATGAAGGGAACTATGGTCAATACTAAGCAAAAGTTTTTGATTGTTTAAACCTCAAAGAACAAGATTTTTTCATATATAGATGTATAGGATTAACACTTCAAAGATCTCCTAGGATTATTATGGAATGGATAATATCGCTTTATCATTAATCAGCAGTTTTAGATTTGAGCTCAGTGCATGAACAAAAATCTAATAAGGAACCGTTTTCTCTTTAATAAGCCTTGTGTAGCTTAAATCCGGATTAATCTGAACTTAAATGTAAATACTGAATATCAAGTGATAAATTAAAAAAGCATTAACACGTAAGCTTAAGTAACAGACAAGTGAGAGATAAGAGATGACTGCATACGCCCGTAGCCTTGCGGTGAAATTAAAGTTGAAGTGTTTGACCCTCTTTAATTTCCTTATCATAACCAAATGAACGTTATAGTAAAACTTCACGTTTTTATTTTTTTTCAGTACTTTTAGTAATTTGCTCTTAATTTTGCAAAATAGATTTTTATTTTAAGCGTCAATGTATACTGACTGGTTGTGACTTATGATGTTCATATCCTCATCATTGATAAATTTTCTTAATTTAGTGCAACGACATCTGTTGGGTTTAAGCCTCTTAGAGCTTAAAAGAGGGTAAATGAAAATGGAGGGAAAAATAAAATTTTGATTTTTCCTCCTTGACAAAGGGACATTGTCCCATATTGGAGAAGGAAAAGACTTTTGATGGGTATATATGTATACGATCAAAACCGTTTTCAACCTTCGTACGATTGGTGAAGATGGACCAAAGAGCATCTTCATAATATCGAAGTGAGATTTGAAGAAGGTACGAACAAGCTTCGAGTTTTGGAGTCAGATTAAATACCGAATTCGACGCCATTATCGAGCTCGAGTCCAAATCGAACTATACTGAGAAGCGACGGAATCGAACTTAAGAGCTAGAGGCCAACCAATACCGAGCCCAAGTCAATACCGAACCCCGAGTCGGCATCGAGCTCAAACCCGCATCGAGCTCTAAAACTGGAAACCGACCAATACCGAGTCCGATCAAGATCGAGCTCATAAACAAGAGTCGTTACAGGCGCACTAAAGGAGAGAATCTCGGCGGGAATTAGGGAAAAGCTGATTTATCATGGGTTCCCCACTATGTATTTTTAATTACATCTAAAATAGGATCCCCCTACTATAAAAGGGATGGCTATATTTCTATAAAGGAGGAAGTTTTGCATACATTGTAACTCAGATATCATACACTACCATATTGAAGAATTATCCTTGTTTAGCTTCATAGATTGATTCATCTTGTTTAATCCATAAATCATCCTATTTTCAACTTTGCTTATTTTTCATCTTCTATAGTCAATATTCGATATTTCTATTTACTCTTACGATTTGTGTCAAGTTATACCACATACCCTTAGAACTACGTACAAATTCAACTCTATCCGTTTTGTGGGCAAATAGTTTGGCGCCCACCGTGGGGCTAAGGATAATAGTGATTATTTGATACGAATCTGTAAAAACACACCATTTTATGCTTGTTTTCGGAAGTGTCTTTGATTTAGGATTAATAACGACGAGCTCTCAATTAAATGGCCTTACCTATCGACAACGAAGCTGGCCTTCAAGGTGAGAACAACAACTTGATGCCCAGGGCCGAAAGGCCATTTGTCGACGCCGTTGGAGCTCGAGTCGAAGTACCATTAGACGTTAATTCGCATATGGATATTGAGGCAAACCTACGTTCTAAACCTGAAAATAGCATTCATGCTGGTACTCGATATGCAGCTCGAGAAACCCATAACGTTGAGGAAAACGGAATCAACTTACGTATGATTTTTGAAATGTTGTAAGCTCAACAGGTAGCGATAGCTCAGTTGCAGAGTCAAACCCAGGTACCTAGCAGGCCGGAGCCTAGTCTACCCCGAGAAATCACCCACAGAACGGAGCCATCAATAATAAGATCAAATGAGCAAGAGTCGGGGACTAATTCCGAAATTGCTAAGATACTCGAGGAACTCACAAAACGGATCGAAGTAAACGATAAAAAATGAAAACATATAACTCCAGGGTCGATCAGATCCCGGGGGCACCACCAGTGTTGAAAGGATTGGATTCCAAAAAATTCGTGCAAAAGCCTTTCCCCCCGAGTGAGGCTCCTAAACCGATCCCAAAGAAGTTTCGCATGCTCGAGATTCTTAAATATAATGGAACGACCGATTCCAACAAACATGTCACCTCTTACACATGTGCCATCAAAGGGAATGATCTAGAGGACGATGAGATCAATTCTGTATTATTGAAAAACTTTGGTGAAACCATGACAAAGGGAGCAATGATATGGTATCATAATTTACCGTCTAACTCTATCGATTCTTTTGTTATGCTTGCAGATTCTTTCGTAAAAGCACATGCTGGGGCCATAAAGGTTGAGACCAGGAAGTCGTACCTATTCAAGGTAAGACAAAAGGATAATGAGATGCTAAGAGAATTCATATCTCGTTTTCAAATGGAACGAATGGATCTACCACCAGTCACAGACGATTGGGCTGTTCAAGCTTTCACTCAAGGTCTAAACGAACGAAGCTCGACGGCTTCACGGCGGCTGAAGCATAACCTGATCGAGTACCCAGCTATTACTTGGGCCGATGTGCACAATCGATATCAATCCAAAATAAGATTCGAAGACAACCAGTTGGGTTCTGGGTCCGTTATTAAAAGGGCTACCAACCAAAGGTCGATGAGAGACTGATACTGGACGTATAGTGGAAATCCTACAAGCTCGGGTTCGACCAAAGACAGAGACAGATTATTCAACTCGAAGCCTTTAGGCCAGAGAGCACGCGTTGCACTCTTTTTCTCTTAGACCGGTATTTGTCCCAAATGGGTTTATCGGCAAGGTTTTTTAATGAGGCAACCATTGCTCGTGCTAACTTGAAACAATTCAACAATATACGAGGCCTCCTTACAATCAACCTCGAATACTGGGGGGCATTGTCATCGAACATATCAATGATGATTATGAAGTTCAGTGCAAAAGAAGTTACTTGGTTACTTCATGGCAAAAGGGTCTTGACAGGAAAAATTGTAAGGACCAAATGGTCAAACGTGTCATGCCCATGTAGTTGGCCCGAGCCCTGACACAA